AAAGTAAAAAAAGAAGCCAAGTGCACGCGCGTTAGCATTAACTTTACGAAAAAGAATCGTTATAAATAAATTTACAATGTCGAAGTTCAACGTATAAAGTTATTAACAAAGAAACTCGTTTTCAGTGTTTAATATCATTTTGTAAAAAAAGATGTGATAAAACCAAAATTACTTTACACTATAAAAGTAAAAAAAAGACAAGTGCACCCGCGTTAACATTACTCTATTGAAAAATACAAGACAGTTTTATATACTCTCTACAAAAGAAATGATATCAAGAGGTTACATTCGCCAAATGATTAATCATTTTTTAATTTTATAAACATATATGGTTTTGATTATATAATATATTTATAAATTAAATATGTTATTAACAATATATTAGTAATATATTATTAAATAAAAAATAAAATAATAAGAGAATTACTATAATTAAAGAAATACAATGATGTTAAAAAAATTATAATACACTAAAAAAGACTTGACGTGTTTTTTTTATAAGCAAACGGTTCTCTTATTGTAATCACTATCAAAATATTATATTGATTATCGATGTAATATTAAAAAAAAGGCACGCCAAGTGCTTTTTAGTGTAAGTTATTACCATATATGTTTATAAAATAAAAAAAATGATTAATCATTCGCATTTGGCTAATGTAACCTCTTGATATTATTTCTTTTGTAGAGAGTATATAAAACTGTCTTGTATTTTTCAATAGAGTAATGCTAACGCGCGTGCATTTCGCTTTTTTTTACTTTTTTTGGGAAAAAGTAATTTTGGTTTTATATCACATGTTTTCTTACATTCTAATGTACTTGCGTAGTAAAAAGGATTACCAGACACAAATCGCAATGCTGCATTGTTTACGCGCAATCCGCGTCGAACTTTGCCGTACAGAGATACAGCTCCGCGGAAAATCCCGCTGTAGCTAAGAGGTTAATGTATAGCAAACTTTTCAAGTCATGCTAATTCCCATAAGGCTGGATGTCTTTAATAGTACTTCGTTAATGTTAATATGTGTGATTCGTATTCGAATCTTTTCGATTCGAAATTTTCGAATTATTCGGATTCGAATCGTAAGAATTAAAATTCGAATCGAATTAAATGAAGTGAAATTCGATTAGTTTGCACATCTCTAATACTATGGTTGAGAGATTTAGGGTTTGATGCGCTATATAGTACCTAGAGTTCTGCTCAAGCATATATAAAAAGGCAGCAAAGGTCAATATACCACTTTTAGAGTATTAAGGTTTCTACAATTCTTTTGTATACATAGATGGAAAATAACGTTAATATTTAATTGTTAAATAACGTTAAGGCAACTACATTTATCCGAGTGATATTGTTTTCTCCGTGTAGCAACACTGATAGAAAAAAATAGTTGAATTAACTATAATTTCACTATATTTTATAGTTAATTTTGGCGTCAACCATATTTTTATAATTACCTTAAACATACAATTTATAGTAAAGGTAACCATAAAATATAGTCCGCACATCTTACATAGCTGTTATAAAATAAAATGAAATATTGGTATATTAAAATTTACCATAAAATATTGTTATAAGAAACATATTTAAAAGTATGATTTTAACATGCGCAATAGTTGTGTGCGAAACTCTACTAATATTTTAGTAGTAACATTATTATTTCTTTCTCTTCTCTCCTCTTCCAGTCCTATTTGCTATGGTCCAAACGTGTGGTGATTGATCTTTCTTTTCATATGCCTATGGTGTATAAAAAATTTTCGGCTCTGCTGGAAATTGAACTCGGAACTTCTATAACATGATAGTCCAGTGCGCTGTCTGCTTTTTTTTCATTTCGTTTATTTAGGACCAAAATTACAATTAAATGTATACAATAAGCTTAATAAACAAAACTTTTCAATGACAAGTTTAAATAGATCTGAACAGACTCGAACAAGGCATCTCGCAGATACGGTCCATATACAGTTTGTAATAAGAAAACGAAGCGGTAATTAATAACAAAATTAACATGCTATAAAAACAGCCAAGTAATATTTAACAAAATGAATATATATTGCCAAAAAAAAGATCCAAGAAAAACTGGTTACGCTATCATATATATGAGTGCGCTGTCTGCCATGCTACGCTCACATATTATTATTTCTTATATTTAATTTAATATATAGGCTCGTTCAATAGAGATCTCCTTACTACATTTATGGTAAATTGGCAATTATAAATATAGTCAAATTTATCATGCATATAATTATACTCGCTATTTAGGATAGTTATGTGATTAATTATTTTTTTTGTCATTTTTACCATGTATATATAGTAAAATAAATGGTAAAAGTATAGACACATTTGCTATTTTTTGCGATTAAATACAGTTGCGTTGACTATGTAAAATAGTTCATTGTACTATTTGATATATGTAACTCAACTATATTTATGTTTCACATCATCATAAATCAGAGTAAAAAATTTTTATGGTTGGTCTAATCATGTTTATATTGGTTGCTTTCCAACAAGAGACACAAGTCGACACAAACATCATTCTATCTTTGTTCCACATTTAGTGAGTAACAAAGATAGGATGATATCGATTGTGTCGATTTGTGTCTCTTGTTGGAAAGAAACTATTGTAATCTTTACCACAATTATGGTAACGCTTGCTGATTTTATGGTATTCCTCACTATTCTCTTTACTATGTGTTTATAGTTCCAATTATCATGCATTTTTCTCCCAGTGAATCATGACGTTGCAGAAGTCTGCTAATTTGCGCCTCGCCGACGACGACGACGACGGTGTGCATGTTCGGCTACTCGGTATAGTTGGGGTCGAACGAACGAACGACTCCAACAGCGAAATGAATCGAGGGGGGCGAGCGTCGGTGGATACAGCGTCCGTGGGGAGATGCCGGGGATGAATCGGCGAGGGTGGCAAGTCCCTACCGTCGTCAGTCGCATGACGCGTTTTCCGCCGACAACACCGACGACGACGACGACGTTGCGCCGCGCGAACGTGGCAGCCAGTCATCGTCACTTTTCGCGACGACACCGCGTGGCTTTCCCGCGACTTTTCCGCGTTTTCGCAAAACACGTGGCCGGCTCGCGCGCGCTCGGCCATCGCCGGACGCAATCGGCCAGGCCGCCGCCGCCGCCGCCGCCGCCGCCGCCGCCGCCACGCGACAACCTGTATTATCGATCGCGCGTGCCGCAGTTCCGCATGGCGCGTTAAGCCAATCGCGGCGACGGGATAGCGTCGGATAATTTATGGCGACCGATCCTGCGAGTCCGATCGACCGGTGCGAACACGTGGATCCGACGTTCGTCGTCGTGTCGCGTGCATATCTAAGCTCGAGGCGACCCGATCGACCACGCTCAATTTGAATGCGGCTCCTGCGGGACGACGCCACGGCCACGTGATCGCCGCTCGATCGAGGCTACGTTATTTCGAGTGCGATAACAATTCGCGGCCGAGTCGCGATTATTAGGCTGTGAACGGTTCTTCGCTGATTTCAGCGTGCGGTGCGCTTTTCGGCGAGCGTCCGTCGCGTCGTTGTCGAGTGTTATTTTCGTGACGAGAAACTATCGCGACGCTTCCCGTCTGACTACACATATCGACACATTCGTCTCGCTCCTAACAGCAGATATTGCTTTCGCATACGTTTTCTGAATGTACGAAATGTTTCGTGACCGTTTGTACGATGGAAGTGTTTCGGACATGTTTCTAAACGATACGTGCTGCCTGGGATATGTCTAACGTCCGACACGGTTGTGTGATAAGTATGTGATAAGTGTAGCTGAAAAGAACAGAGCATACGACTTAAAAGATAGTTGAACATCTGGAAGATCTTAAACAGCACCTGGAATATCACGTTTTTGTCAGAATTCTCTATTCCGATTCTCGACATCACGTGACCATTGGCGCGAACGTCTCGAACATGATCACGTGACTCCATATTTGACGAGGCCATTACGCACAGGTGGGCTGGTTTCGTCACAAACTTTGCGCCCTTTTCGCGTCGGTTTTGTAATCTCGCGTGATTATTGTGCGTTAATCGTATGTGTAACGTAAGTCCTCACAACCCCGCGAGTTGGTGCTTCAGGCTGATGGATGTTTCGTGTTGTGCGTAAACGCAACGTGTCAAGTTGTTTCGCTCGTACTTCGTGACCGCGCGCACCTTCGAAATGCACTGTCGCTAAAAGTTATGACGTCGTGCTCAAAATCGTTGTACTTCACTTGCGCGCCCGTTCGCTCCTGGATTATCCTGACAGCGGCGGACAGGGTCTCCGGCCAATTTTGCAAGGGGTAAGATAACCTTCAGTAGGGCGTAGATGAGGTGTATATCCTTATAGAAATATCATACTAAGAACCATTGATAATTACTTATTATCCAGTATTTTTAATACTGAAAATAAGTAATTATCAATGATTCTTAGTATTATATTTCTATAAGGGAAAAAAAGGTTCAGATAAAAGCCAGATATGGATTTTGTCAAGATCTGATCAGATATAATTCAGATATAATTCAGATATGATTCAGATATGATTCAGATATATTCAGATCTGTCCATATATAATCATATATAATTATATATATGATTATATATATATTGTCAAGATCTGATCAGATATAATCAGATATAATTTAGATATGATTCAGATATGATTCAGATATATTCAGATCTGTCCATATATAATCATATATAATTATATATATGATTATATATATATTGTCAAGATCTGATCAGATATAATCAGATATAATTTAGATATGATTCAGATATGATTCAGATATATTCAGATCTGTCCATATATAATCATATATAATTATATATATGATTATATATATATTGTCAAGATCTGATCAGATATAATCAGATATAATTTAGATATGATTCAGATATGATTCAGATATATTCAGATCTGTCCATATATAATCATATATAATTATATATATGATTATATATATATTGTCAAGATCTGATCAGATATAATCAGATATAATTTAGATATGATTCAGATATGATTCAGATATATTCAGATCTGTCCATATATAATCATATATAATTATATATATGATTATATATATATTGTCAAGATCTGATCAGATATAATCAGATATAATTTAGATATGATTCAGATATGATTCAGATATATTCAGATCTGTCCATATATAATCATATATAATTATATATATAATTATATATATTGTTATATATTATCAAGATCTGATCAGATATAATCAGATATAATTCAGATATAATTCAGATATAATTCAGATATGATTCAGATATATTCAGATCTGTCCATATATAATCATATATAATTATATATATGATTATATATGGGCAGATCTGAATCATATCTGAATTATATCTGATTATATCTGATCAGATCTTGACAAAATCCATATCTGCTTTTATCTGAACTTTTTTCCAATGCGACACAAGTAAATCATGAAACTCTGAGGCTGCTCTCTCATTTTATTTGCACTTAATCGGTAATAAATATATTGGGAAAGTTATTATTTAAAAATAATTCGTTAGCATTGCTCGTTTTAAAAAGTAAATAAATAAAGTAATGAGTCGTTATAATTTTCGCTATTTTTCTCCAAGTTTTAGAAGCCTTCATGAAAAGATTTGCTATGGACAACCAAACATAATTTGCTGTATTAGTCACTTTTTCTTCGCCGCAGGAGCCAATTTTCTTGCTATGATAACAAGAAAAATGCTCCTGCAACAGAAAAAGTAGCTAAAACAGTAAATTATGTTTAGTTGTCTATCTGTAGCAAATTTGCTACGTTAGTCTTTTCTTGTTGTAGGAGCAGACTTTCTTGTTATCTTAGCAAGAAAATAGGTTCTTGCAGCAAAGAAAAAGTAGTTAACACAGCGAATTATATTTAACTGTCTATATGTAACAAATTAGTTTACTGCTGTAGCAAATTATTTTTTTCCATGTTTCTTTGCGATCCGCTGCTGCTCATTCCATGCATATGCATTTTATGTTTTTTTTCCAAACGGTTCAAACACAATGAAATTGGAAACTCATGGAATTTAAAAAATTGAATGTTACCGACGGGTATTATTACCGACGGGTTTTCTAATAATTATATTATAAATTATTATCATAATTATGTAATATTATTATAATTATTCATTATTAGTATTAATTATATTATTACTATGTAAGCCTGTCAATTTTGACAGTCTAATGAGCTTCCAATTTCATTGTATTTAAATCGTTCTGTAATCAATAAACATTGATTATTACAAGTTGTAATCAATAAACATTGATTATTACATAAATAAACTAATAATAAAACGAGATTATATTTGTTAAAGTTACTCAAAAGATATAATTGTGTTACTGTTTTTAACGAAAAAATATAGTATCATTACTCACAAGTCGTTCCTGAAAAAAAATAAAATGTCAGAGTAACGAGTTAAAAATAAGGTGTTACCCCACAAAAACGTACGTCGAATTCACGTCGAATCCACGTAGAGTCCACGTGGAATCCACAAAATCACGTGGATTCCACGTGGGTGTAACGTGCATGTTTTTGTGGTGTATTTATCAACTTGAATAAATATATATGCAATCAAACTTTACAGAGAGAAAAAGAGCACAAAAATTACTGCAATGATAGATAACTAAAAATGAAACAAATTTTCTAACGTTTCTTCCTCTTGTTTATTATATTTGGTTTATTATTTCTATTTTTGTATTATGTTTATCTTCCGTACAAGATAATGTATGGTACCTTTCAATAAATAATTGCAATTTCTTAAATATACAAAATTTGTCCAGTAATTATAAATGATATTTTGAAAAAATAAAAAAGTTTGCACTTTATTGAATGTATTATTTATTAATGTTTTTTTTGAGTTTACACGATAGGAAAAGGAAAATACAAACTAACCTGATGTTTTTGCCTTACAAATGTGTCAAAATATTTTATTTTTGTTTGTATATACTAGTTAATGTCGCTAAAATAAGTACTTGGGATTGATAATTTGTTCTCAAATAAAAGTTCTTTTTGTGAAAAGGCACATCGCGGATGAGGATGCCCTTTCGTGACGAAAGTGCGAGATAGTTACTTTTATTTACATTGAACAAAAGATCGGGAAATGTTTCTGGATTAAGTAAATTTTATTGCATCAACTATCACATCAAATTAAGTGAAAATTAAATTTGCTCAAGAATTTAATGTAGGAATTTTAATTAAAAAATTTAATGAAGAATAAATGATTAATATAGAACTAAAAAGTAGTTATACGGACACTATAAATATTATTTCCATTATGAAAAAGGTTGATTTATTTATATATAAGCATTCCTCCAGATGTGGGAGATTATGTAATCAGACGATAAGTACATTGAACTAATGACTTTGATAATTTGTGAGATTTATTCAACTATAAAAAACCATTACAACAGTTTTCTGAAGATTGTGAAGTAAGTTACAATATATAGAGTCCGGATGTACGTTTCAGCGGCTATCGACATGTTGCGTGCTAGTTCGTCTGCAAATAAATTCTCGTCGCGACAAACTTCACTACTTGAAGCTTTATATGATATGCGACTGTGTATATTGTCTGAGACCTGATTCAGTTGCATGAGCTACATACATTATCAAAGAGAATAATGTAATATATAAAACAATTTTAATTTAAAAAAAGGAATACACACATAATAGCTGACAACCAAAGGTACAGTCAGAAAATTTAAAAAAAGATGAACTTGTACAGATGTAATATGTTAAACAATTTTAATTTGAAAAAGGAACACACATATAATAGCTGACAACCAAAGGTGCAGTCAGAAAAAAGACGAACTTGTACAGTCAGGTTGAGTTCGCTCAACTCGATTTTAATTGTTTCGACCGAAATTTTTTATAGTATATACATAGTATATATATATATATATATATATATATATATATATATATATATAGTGT